ATCCTTCCTACCTGGCATGAGGTTGGGCCGCTTCCTTCCCACCTGGCATGAGGATGGGCTACTTCCTTCCCACCTGGCATGAGGATGGGCTACTTCCTTCCCACCTGGCATGAGGATGGGCTACTTCCTTCCCACCTGGCATGAGGATGGGCTACTTCCTTCCCACCTGGCATGAGGATGGGCTACTTCCTTCCCACCTGGCATGAGGATGGGCTACTTCCTTCCCACCTGGCATGAGGATGGGCTACTTCCTTCCCACCTGGCATGAGGATGGGCTACTTCCTTCCCACCTGGCATGAGGATGGGCTACTTCCTTCCCACCTGGCATGAGGATGGGCTACTTCCTTCCCACCTGGCATGAGGATGGGCTACTTCCTTCCCACCTGGCATGAGGATGGGCTACTTCCTTCCCACCTGGCATGAGGATGGGCTACTTCCTTCCCACCTGGCATGAGGATGGGCTACTTCCTTCCCACCTGGCATGAGGATGGGCTACTTCCTTCCCACCTGGCATGAGGATGGGCTACTTCCTTCCCACCTGGCATGAGGATGGGCTACTTCCTTCCCACCTGGCATGAGGATGGGCTACTTCCTTCCCACCTGGCATGAGGATGGGCTACTTCCTTCCCACCTGGCATGAGGATGGGCTACTTCCTTCCCACCTGGCATGAGGATGGGCTACTTCCTTCCCACCTGGCATGAGGATGGGCTACTTCCTTCCCACCTGGCATGAGGATGGGCTACTTCCTTCCCACCTGGCATGAGGATGGGCTACTTCCTTCCCACCTGGCATGAGGATGGGCTACTTCCTTCCCACCTGGCATGAGGATGGGCCGCTTCCTTCCCACCTGGGATGAGGATGGGCCACTTTCTTCCCACCTGGCATGAGGATGGGCTGCTTCCTTCCCACCTGACATGAGGATGGGCTGCTTCCTTCCCACCTGACATGAGGATGGGCTACTTCCTTCCCACCCGGCATGAGGATGGGCTGTTTCCTTCCCACCTGGGATGAGGTCGGGTTGCTTCCTTCCCACCTGGCATGAGGATGGGCTGCTTCCTTCCCACCTGACATGAGGATGGGCTGCTTCCTTCCCACCTGACATGAGGATGGGCTGCTTCCTTCCCACCTGGCATGAGGATGGGCTGCTTCCTTCCCACCTGGCATGAGGATGGGCTACTTTCTTCCCACCTGGGATGAGGTTGGGCTGCTTCCTTCCCACCTGGGATGAGGATGGGCTACTTCCTTCCCACCTGGGATGAAGCTGGGCTGCTTCCTTCCCACCTGGCATGAGGTCGGGTTGCTTCCTTCCCACCTGGGATGAGGTTGGGCAGCTTCCTCCCAGGAGGAAGGACCGACTGCAGCCTTGGCCATCGGTTGTGCAGGCCGTCCTCACCTCCCCGCGCCGTGACCCGTTCCCGGATTAGTCTCCACAGTGCACGCGGCACGGGCGTGGGTGACCCGGGTCGGGGACGGAAAGGGGGCCCGAGAAGGGTCGTTTCCGCTGTCTGGTTGATTATTACTGTCGTCGTTATCTCTGGCCAAGGGGAGCCGGACGCTGAAGCCCTAAGCTGCGTCCAGCTTGAGAGGCCCCGTACGATAAAAAATAACCCAAACGTATGTATATTTTGTCATGTTAGAATGAAAATGTCCGTATTTAGAGACTCGTTTCCCCGTATCTCCTTTATTTACCTACTGATTATTATAAAACTTGATATATAGAGACTATAAAATGGGGTGGGGTTTCTGATTTAGAGACCCCTCATATTGTGAGGCCCTAAGCTGGAGTTGAAGTAGTTTAAGCCTAAATCCGGCACTGCCTGATACTAAGAGTTTGTCCCGGGGCCGCCAGGAGTCTAGGCACCGTGCTGCCCGGCAGCCCTCCACAGGGGCAGGGGACAGGGCTACCGATGACCCCCTGGGAAAGCACTGCCACCACCGGCTGGGGCTAAAAGGGAATCTCTGGTACACAGCGGTATGAGGCCGTGTTGAAGTAGTTTAAGCCTAAATCCGGCACTGCCTGATACTAAGAGTTTGTCCCGGGGCCGCCAGGAGTCTAGGCACCGTGCTGCCCGGCAGCCCTCCACAGGGGCAGGGGACAGGGCTACCGATGACCCCCTGGGAAAGCACTGCCACCACCGGCTGGGGCTAAAAGGGAATCTCTGGTACACAGCGGTATGAGGCCTTTGATACGTAGCTGAGTGGTTCGGAGGCTGCCCAGCAGAGAGCAGCCCGCGCACCAGCCATTTTAAGCAGAAGGATCAATTATTCTTGAACCTGAGATCTCCCAGGCCATCCAGTCCAATCCCCTGCGTAGTGTGCTGCTCCAAAACCAGCCAAGGCAGATGCCCATCCAACCACCCCTGAAAGCCTCCAGCCTCCAGCCCTTAGGTGGAGTTTAGAAGGTGGTTGATGGGGGTGGTTTGGATAGGGATCATCCTGCCTCAGGCAGAGGGTGGACTAGATGTGACCTCTGGAGGTCCCTTCTTGCCCTACTTCTCTATGGGCACGTCTACACGTGCACACTTCCTGTGCATCAATTTAGGTAACTGAAAATGACTGAGCAGTACAGGTGCGCGTCTACACGTGCGTACCTGTACTGTGCAGTAACTATGGTGACTTACGCTGACTTGGGCATAAATTTGCTACCTGCCTGATGCAGGTAGCAAATTTACACCGGAGTAGTTACTGCACAGTAACACGCATGTAAACATATTACTGTGCAGTAACGCGGCGTGTGTGGACTGACTTGGGACTAACTTTACTCCCAAGTTGGTCCACACACAGCGTTACTGCACTGTAACACCTGTGCGTGTAGACGCCAGCTTGAAAACTACTTCCTGCACAGTAAATGGATGTGTAGACATGCCCTATGACTATACCGTTTGTCGTTCCATCCTTGCTCCTACCGGGATCTCTTGAGCGTATACTGACAACATTTCATCGAAGCGGGACGTTGGCTGTCACGGTTCCCCTGATTTCCCTGGGGCAGGTTCGGGAGTTGGGTCTGTGCTGTGCCAGGGTTGACAGGGGTCTTATGTAGGGTTTGGATTATGGATTGTGTAAGATGGTTTGGATAGGGGTGATCCTGCCTCGGAGGGGGTCGGACTAGATGGTACATCTGGAGGTCCCTGCCAGCCCTATTTCTCCGTGATGGTTATTTGTGTAGTGGGAGCCCTCGTCAGGGAGCAGAGCCCCGTTGTGCCAGACACTGCACATGGATAGAACAGAAATATGGTCCTTGCCCCAAAGAACTTGGGCCGTCTAAATATAGGACCAAGAGCAAACAGGTGAATATTGACAGATATGGGAGGAAGCGCAAGCAAAATGAGTGGGTATAGGTCAGCCTTGTAGGCAGTAGCCTGAGCACACCACCTGACTAAAAGTATGCTAGCTACCTGAATATAACCTCAAATGACATTTCTTCAGGAACAAACTACCTACCTCCAGTACTCACCACACCACCAGGCCGTGCCACGGACCCAGATGCCAGCTCTGCTCCCTCATCAAGACAGATCACATCATCACGGGACCAAACAACATGGATTAAAACATCCATGGTTCATTCACCTGTTCCTCTACCAAGGTCACATATGCCATCGTCTGCTTACAGTGCCCCCCTGCTGTCTACACTTGAAAGACAGGGTGATCCCTATGTGAAAAAGGAGCAGATGCTATGTCCAGAAAGACATAAAAGCCCAGGACAAGACTTTAACCTCCCCGGACAGTCCACCCCCGACCTCAGAGTAGCTGTTCTTAAAGAACAAAACTTTAAAAACCGACTTGAATGCAAAACTGCAGAACAAGAAATCACCCACTGAGTGCCTTGTTAAGCACAATCTCAGCAGAGATTCTGGATTCTTGTCCCATTACCTGGCCTAGCTTGTGCAACCCCTGTGCTCCTCAAGGGATTCGTTGGCTTGTTCATCCCTATTGACATGTTCAACCCATCTTTGCCTCTCTCAGCAATGCCCCCTCTTCCTATCGACTGTATTTAAATTGCTTTCTGTTTAGGACCCCTTCTTTCTGCAAGTCCATTCCCTTGCTTTATGCAGTACATGCATTCCTGGAAAACGGCACATAACTCAAATTCGCATAAAGGGAACCTACTTTACAAGGTAATAAATAGGGATACGTTCCAAGACCTCGATTGTACTGACCCCCAGACCCATTTCTACCACTTTTACAAGACAATTTTGGTACTCCCCAACAGCAGACAGTGCACACAAGCACAGGGTAGTGGTGAATGTTTAGTTGGCGTGAAGAGAGGGTGGCGAAGGGTCTTCAGTGTCAGACTCCGCATCACCGGTAGGAGGTAGAGACACAGGAGAATCAATGACTACAGAAACACGTGTCGCAGACGACGAGCGAGGAGCACAGATCCACACAGGA